TAAATATTCAAGGTGATGGATATCCCAATTATCCTGATTTGATCTTTACACAGTATTCAAATGTGTCAAATTATCATATGTACCCCCAAAAATATGGTACACTTATTATGTATCAATTTAAGAAAATGGCACAGAAGAAATCAGAGACTTAAGGATAAAGAGAGTGGGGAGATAAAACTTTTCTGGATTTCTCAGTGTCCTGGTAAAAAGCAGTGGCTTCCTGAGACTTTTTACATACCATGAGAGTTAGATCTGTAATCATGTCTATAGGTAAGTGCTTTGATCCAAAAGAATAATAAAACTTTTCTCTTCTTGAGAGGACCAAATGATTACAGCCTGAAAAAGGTCCCTAGGGTGGGCCCCCAAGGTGCCAGAAGCCTCTATCTTCCCAAGCAGGCCAGTATAAGCTTATGCCATCAGCATGCAGCGTGTAAGAAGGGATGAGCCTCAGAACTTGGAGACAAGCCCCAGGGATTTGTCGTAAAAGCAGAGACCTGCAAGGGGTTATCTGGATCCTGGGGAGATTTTATTTAGCTACCAATGTGTTGGAGTAAGGAGGAGATCTTTAAGGAAGGGAAGGGGAAAGCGGCCTTCCTGTCCCTACTCTTGGAAGCTTATAATTGAGCAAGGACGAGAGGCATTGAACCAGACTTAAAAATGTGATGAGTGATGCGAAGGAGAGATGCCAAGTGCATTGGAAGCACATGGCGGGAAAGCCTAACCTAAGTTAGGAGTCAGGGGAGTCTTCCCTAAGTTTCCCCTTATGATAAGCAGGGAAAATAATTTTTCCTATGGAGTGTCTGGTTGCTCACGAAGGACAACTGACCTCACTCTCCTTGCATCATCCTAGGGCGAAGGAGGTCCAAAGCATTTACTATTTACTCTGAGTCATTTAATAAGAAATCTAACTCTGATCCAGAACGTGTAATGTGCACATTTGGGATAAAATTAATAAAAATCAATATTAAAAACCTAAAATACTCTGGATATATAGGTCTGATAGGTTGGATTTTTATGGGACTTGAAAAAGAGCATTCAGGGCCGGGCGCGGTGGCTCACGCC